CCATGAAAAATTAGAAGCGTTTTTAATGATGTCATTTGAACGATAATTATTAGCGCAGATTGAACTAGAAGATTTTCTTGTATATTTGCGCAAAGGTTCAAAGTTAATGAGAGATTTATTAAGGTAAAAATTATATATTTTCTTTATTCTTTTATTTGAATCTTATTAATATCTATTTACAATATGATCGGTGCCTGATTTTATAAGTGCAGCAATTTTATTCTCTGTAATATTGTATAACTGCAATAATTTTATTCTCTGTAATATTGTTAACTGCAATAATTTTATATGTGTGATTAATTGATTTGGTATATTGAGTATCTATTTTTTTTATATTTAGCATATGATGTATGATTTGATTTTATAGTGAAATATCGTATCTAATATAAAATATATATGTGCAATGAATATTATTTTATAAAGTATTGAATATAATTTTAGATGTGCATTTTTTTTAAAATAAAATATGATTATCGTGTAATACTATTCTTTTTTTTTATTAAAAATGTAAATCGTTTAAACTTATTTTCAAAAATAAGAAGTAACAAAAATCATGTAAATCGAAGAAGCCATTTAAGGGAACCAAAATGTGGGTATGGGGGCTTCGCTCCCATACAAATGAGGCCGCTATAAAAAAAAATGCCTACGAGGACGTAGCGTCGCCAGTCAGCCCCTGATAGACTCCCATGGCTGATATTAAATTTTATATTGCATATTATACAAAATGCATTAGAACTATACTTTCTTTATTTTCTCTGTTATATGAATAAAAGGAATTCCAGGTATTTAGATATTGTGATTAATATAATTTAAATTAATGGAATAAAATTGAAAAAAAAAGAAATATCATGAAAAAACACTGATCGAAAATAATTAGGCTATATAAAAATGTTTAAATTTTAAATAATAAAATGCATTAAACTTCTAAAATATCATTTTATGTAGATAGATTTCTAAATAATATAGAATACTTACTTCACTTTCACATAAGAATCATTTTCACCATCAGAATCAGAGGAAATAATTATTATATGATTAATCAACAATTTGTTTTAAAATTAAGATTTTTAATATTATTATTTTTTCTAAATTGGAAAGTTTTAGTAATCGAAAAAAAACAATTTTTTTTTAGAATTCTTTGTTTATTCCTTTTCCTATTTCAAAATTTTTTTTTTTTTTTTTTTTTTTTTTTAGAATTCTTTGTTTATTCCTTTTCCTATTTCAAAATTTTTTTTTTTTTTTTTTTTTTATGGATAAAAAATAAACAAAAACAAGATGCCTCTTTAAATGTATGATTGTATTAAAATAATAAATAATAGCTTAGTTTTTGTTGAGTATTTTTAATTATTTTATATTTTAAAATATTTATAAAAAAATCGGGTGAAAGAGTAAAAATCCAGAGAAAACCTAAATTAATAGAGAGTCAAAAATCGGGTGGTCTGACAACCCTGCTCCTAACCCATAATTTTGATAAATGATAAAATATAAATAAAACTAATAGTTATTCTTATAAAATATATTCCCATACATAATTGAGGATAGTGTTATTAAACAGCTCGATTTGAGCCAATTTTTAGAAATTTCTAACAGAATATTTTAGCCAGAAAAATATTGCCTGAGCCTTGAATTTTGCTAATAGATGTCCAAACCGTTGTGTTATCTATGAGCAAAATTTTCAGGCTTGCATAATATTTTTCTGGATAAAATATTGAGTTTTTGAAAATCGGTTCAAATCGATAGTGTTACCAACATGAATAGAGGATGATTAAAGCTTTCATTTTACACATTATAAAGCGTACTTAATTTTTTTTGTGAAATACCAGAGGAAATAACAGGAAATAAATTTTTTTACATTTTCGTCATAACATATTTTTGATTATAAAATTTAAATGAGTTAACACAAGTCAAATATTACATAATGTTAAAGGTGTATATCATAAATATCTATCATAGGATTAAATTTCAAATCTTATATTTATTTTGTAAAAAATAAATTGGACTTGTGCGCTCGCTCCATGATTCGCTAAAATTCCCTCTCTTTATCGATTTTAAAAATATATTTTATTTTTTAATAAATATTTAAAGAATTTTAGATATAAAATTGTTATTATGGTTATAATAAATTATGTAAAAATTTATAATGTTTTATATCAAACACAAAAAAACCTAGCTATGAACATGAGGAAATCAACTACCAACAAGATAATATACGAAATCCTAATCAGCCTACCAAATATTCTAATCCTTCTAATTATGAACAAGACCATAATAATATTAATAATGCGGGACCAGAAATGGAATATAGCGTTATAGCAAAAATTATCAAGTTAATAACCGATCCTCGTTTTGAAAAGTTGAAAGCAATTGGAAGCCTAAAAATTCAAGGCAATGAAATAGCGTTCGTGAATATCTTGGGTGAAAATATTAAGCATATGATCAATAACCCTTTCGACTTGATTCAAAAATTTTCGTACCTAACCAAACCAAAAGTATATAAATAATTGTATTTTAAATCCATAAAAATACCTCAAACATTCTTATTTTTTGAATAAAAAGAGTTATAGCTTTACCGAATCGGCGATATTAATAGATTCGACCGCTTACATACCAACGGGGGTAGGTATCCCTTTGAACGTCACCGTACGTTCTACAATAGTAACTAATATGGATGTTAGGGGCAATATTGATATGAATAACTTACTAAGCTCTTCCGCAATTAGTCTAAATGGTCGAATTAAACCAAGGTTTTATTAATATACAAATATAATTTAATATAAATACATACTCCTTTTTCCTTTTTTAGCGTGGCTTTGACAACCCATTTAACAGTATCTTTATCTGGAGTTAACAATAATGGTGTGGGATTTTCGTCCACCATACTAACAAATACCGATGTTTCTGGTAATATACAGGTCAGTGCCTCCATTGGTGTAAAGGCTAAATTAGACCTCCCTGATAAGAAACAAGATATTTTAACCTCCGAGTAAAACTAGATATTGGATATGTTGAAGTTTTTAAAATTTTAATTTTAGGAATGAAATTTTTTTATTATCCAACGGGGAAAAAATATTCGACTCTCACGAACAAAGAAAAACCTATTGTATGAGTGACAGATGGCACAAGACTTTAGGAATCAAATCTTGTACCTCTATTTCTTATCCATCGTCTGTGCTCAAAGCATTTTCTGAGGATAATAATAAGTTTCCTACTGGTATGTTTGGAGCCAAAGTAACGTTAGAAAAAACGGATAGCACTATCAAACATTACGATATAACTATCAAAACTTCAAAAAAGGTTTTTTTTTGTTTTACCTTCTCTAAAGTATTAAATAAAATTTATTATAATTCTTTATTTGGATGTATAAACAATTCAAAGGATGATGCCAAATATCATATAAAAGTATATTTTAACACTCCTGGTGCATCGATAGACAGGCAAATGGATATAGAAGCTGTAGTGGACAAAGATGATTATACTTTGAAATCTCAAATTAAGTCACAAGCTCTAAATGCCGATGTTACTGGTAATCTTGCTATTATATTTTTTCTCTAAAAAGATAATGGTTTAGGAAAAATTGAGATGGATAACGAAAATATGAACGCACATGTTATAATAGATGATACTCTTCAAAAAAAGATACGTACTATAACAACTTCTTACGATACTCGTTTCAATGTTAGGGATGAATATAAATCTAAAAATTTTTATTTCAAATTCGTTAACCCTGATAAGCAAGACACCTTATTTTCTGTCAATTGGACATCTACTGGTGATAACACTTATACGAAACCCTATAATCCAGGTTACCATTACGCTAGATATTTTTTATCTAGTTTTTTTAAAAAGATTGGCAACACGTGACTAAGTATTCGGGTGTTTTATATACATCGGAAATCGATTTGAAATTCGACGCTGTATCCACTTATACGCTAAGAAGTTACGATACCAAATTTGTGTCATATTATTCGACCAATAAACATAAAAACGAGAAGTTTAATAGAATAATTTTAATGATTTTTTAAATCTTTTTTGCAAGGTTCGTGATAAAGAAATACATTTATTACGATCGTCAAAACGTAAAGCATTCCTTTAAATACTTATCCTCAATAGAATCAACCCAATTCTCCCCATTGAATTATAAGATATCTTTATTGTCTAACTTGGATACAAGTCTAGTCTTTTTTTCAATTTCATAATTATATACTTTTTTATAGAATCTTCGGACGGATCTTTGACACGAGGAATAAAATCCTACGATTTTTTGACTAATTTTCAGGACAAGGACTCATGGAAAAATATTAGCTTGATAATACGCAATGAGACGTCATCAGCAACTGATTATGGTAATAATATTGGAAAAGAACACAGATCCAGAATCGTTTTTGAATCTGATTCTTCTGAAGGTCGCAAAATTATAGCAAACGGTAACATCAAAGTGAAGCTCGATAAAAGTAATATGCAAAACAAGCCATATGACGAAGAAGGAAAAATGGGAATTGATGCTCACGTAGATATGAATATAGAGTACGATGCTAGAAGATTTCCCGATGACAAAATCATATTAAGATTGGATTTGGATAAGGACATCGATGACAAGATAAGGAGCACGGGTAGATTCGAGAAATATTCAACGACAAATAACCAAGAATCACAAAAGAATTCTTACATAGAAAATGTACAAAATTTCTTTTCTTGGTCTAAGGGCTCTACTAGATCTCCACTATACGCAGAATACGAGATATTGTATCATAAAAATCAAAATTTCAAGTATTATGTATTTTTTCAACAAAATAAACTTTTTAATATATAATCTTTTATAATTTTTAGAGGTAAATTAAAATATGACATCGGACATGGCTACGGATACTACAATGTTGAAATGGCATACAGAAAAAACATGGACTTTAAAAACTTTACGATTGTCGTCGAAAACAGTGTTTTAGGGTCAGATAAGCCTCATAGAGATAATCAACAAGATCGTCAAATAGAATCTTCCACAAATAAGAATCACCTCATTTTTAATATCTATCATGCCAAAGATATTTATGAGACGAAGTTAGACACTAACATCGAAGATTTAGCCGGCCAACAATACAAACTGTATTATCGCCATAAGATATGGGATAGGTGACTAAAATATTATTTTTAAATAACATAATATTGGCAATGTATAAATTTGATTACAAAGGAATGAGGATAAAGGTATTTCCTTGACCCTCACTAGCACAACCCCTTGGGAAAACTTGAAAGATTTGGATATGTTAGTAGATGTCACGGTTCAGGGTTCTATTTTACTTGGGAAATTAAAGATGACCCACAATAATCACAAACTAATTGGCACTCTAGGCGGCACGTACAATCCCGACAAGGCTATTATTGCTAACGTATATTTAATAATTATATTTTACCTTTATGAGATGTAGTATAAAGTTATTTACTAATTAAACGAATTTTACTACAACAATTAGGTAAATGCCACAAGCACTATCGATAATTTTACAGTCGTTCGTTTATCCATAAGAAGCGAGAAGGTTAAAAGTCAATGGCTTCATAATTCGGATGTGGTAATGTATGATCATAATAATAAAGGTTGAAAGCTTAAAAAAAATTATTATGATCTTAAAATTTTAATAATTATCAATATTTTATATATAATAGAGAAAAAGGTGTCATTTAAAATCGTGTGGCAAACCAAACCTAATTTCCAAAGTACTAATCTACACTTATTCTTTTTAAATATTTTTTTTACTTTTTTCTATAATTTTTAGTGGGAATTAAGGCTCAATCTCAAACATATAAAAATCTCAACATCGACTTTCAAATAAATCGCGCTCACAATATATTCGTTCTCTTTAGTTATTATTACAATGGAAACAAAGTTTACGTTAAAACAACTTATCCAACTATTCAGGTTTAATCTTGCTTTTTTAGTTATATGGATAATTTTTATAGGCTTTGAAACAATATCTGAATAATGAGCAGTATGTCTTGGATCGACCGAATTATCAGTTGAGTGAGCTTACAGATTTACATCTGCCGCTGAAATTCGAAACGAGCGTCAAATTTATAATTGGCACTTACACCCTGCAATATGGCCTCATGTTTAGCAATACTAAAAATGAGTTTTATTTTAACTGGAATACGCTCATCACGCCTCACATGAAAAGGAGATTCGAAATAGACTTCAATTTGAATAATGAACTGTACATTAATTCTTCCTTGAAAGTTCAACTAACAGATAAAACGTATATGGTCAACATAGTTCATAAACTGAATGAGGTATCAATTATAAAAAAATGATATTATATCCTTTTTATACACAGTTTTAAAATGTCTGGCCACCAGATAAACTTGTAAAGGTGGCAACATACCCCTCCTCATCCATTATATGTGGCCATAATTTTAATTTAAAAATTTCATTGTTTTAAAGTTTATATATATTATATTCAATGTAAATTGTTTTTAATAGGCAAAAAGTATGAAGCCCTTTAAATCATTTTATATCAGATCGGAGAAAATATAAAAAAATGGTAATCCAAAAATGTGAATCAATTTTAGCCAAATTTTTTATGCCTGAATCAACTTTTAGAAGTCTGAATCATATTAATGCTAAAGTTGTTTTTATGATTTTAACAAAATATTCTGATTAAATCCAGAAAAATGTTTATTTACAATTTGTGCTTAAATCACACATATTTCTTGAAATTTTTTATTGAATGACTCAATTAATTTTAATATATTGAATATCAGTTTTTATAGTATATGTATATATATTAAAAACCTTCAACTTTGAGATATTTATGACTAATCAATAGAAAGATATTGTGGATAATTGCGTTTTCCCTATTTATATCCCTAAATTTATTACATTATATGTACTTAGAAAAAGGAGGATCCCAAATACGCTGACACAATAATTTATTTTTACCCAAATTATGACCATGACTCAAAAAGTTTTATAACCATAAAATCCATTTCTACCATATCAAATCCCAATTCAAAAGGACATGGGTCTGCTGAATTTAACCCGAGATTTAAATATTCCATTTATGACATAAAAACGTCCATTTCCTACCCAAAGCTGAATTCTATAAACCTTGAATCGAAACTGGCGTTCAACGATAAAAATACTCTGGTAGGATTTCATTCTAAAGTCTTTTATCCGAGCACCAAATATTTTGAAGTTGACCTAAAACTTGACGTAAGTTTAAATTTTAAAGGTTAACCCTAACCCTAAAGTATAAAATATTTAATTTTTCCTATAATAGGATGTCTCCCGCATGCATCTAACAAATGTAACATGGAAGTTACAAATCTCAAAACCGAACTCTAAATTAGATTGGCACGTTGATGGGTATTTGGCTATGGGAAAAAATTATCAAGACCTAAAATCAGTGTCCTCTTACCTAATGAACGATGGGAACTTCAGGATGGTGGAACTTAAATACGTTAATGACCCTGAACGCGATATTCATTTAACGGTAATAAATGTGGCCAATAGTGCCTTAACTCTAAAAATCTTTTTGAACACCAAGAGACCCAATATCATGGCAATCATTCAAACGGGAAATCCTATGCAACCACAAAATTCAACGTTATCCGTTATAAATTTGAATCTGAATGAGAGAGCTTTCAATATAAAGGTATGAAATTATCATATTAGTTTATGCTTATATCCATAATCAAATCCCTAAAAAAAAATTATTTTTTAATCCAATGTATTAAGCAGAAAGCTTTTAAAAAATTTATGTAATAAATTACCTTATATTTTTCATTCTATGCAATAGTGATCTAAAAATAAATATCTATTTTATTTAATGGTTTATATAAAAGTACGCAGATAAATTGTATTTGAGAGCTGCCGTCGAGGAAGATGACAAGATGGTGGCTGATCTATATTTGATCGACCCACAATTAACCCGTCATCAACAAAGCCAAGATCGAAATATTGAACTAGATTATTTTCAAAATCCGGGAATTAGTGTGGTTGCGGTTCTCAATAATTCTCGGCACGTTCACTTTCATTTCAAATGGGTCACACCTATAGTTGATAAAATAAAGGATATTGTTGGCAAGTCCCAAGAAAACATTATGGACATGATCACGGAAGGCGTGATTGATTTGATAAAGGATATAGAATCAAAATTAACACCTGAAAATGGTTTGAGAATAATTGATGAAACTACTGATGAAATTGGGCAAAATAACGAGAACGAAGGACAAGGTGTTTTATATCAACTTTATCGACACGTTAAACATTATTATAATTATTATAGTAGAAACTACTATAATACTAGAAGTAACGCCGCTATTAATAATAATTTTGAGACAGACCATTTCTTTCAGAAAAATTTCCAACAAAAATCATCCTACAATAAGGAACGTTATAATAGTAAAAAGAAGGCGAACGAGGATAATCCCGTGATTATAATATTACAAATATTTCCTGATGTTGCGGGTGAATTGATCCAGATCCAGAGATATATGTTCGTGATCTTGGCCAGTCACAGATCGCTGAAATACAAAATAGATTACTTATGGAACAGCATGATGAAAAAGTTGAAGAATATATATAATAATTTGTACGACATCAACGATTTGCAAAACTATTTGAATTACAGGTGGATAAAATTTTATTGTATATATATTTATTTCATTTTAAAAAAAATAATTTTCGCTTATATTTGATTTAAATTGATCGATTAGGTTGAGAAGCTTGCTTATATTGTCCCAATCTAGTTTCAGTAGCAGAAATTCGAAGAAAAGTTTGAGTCAGAGTCTGTTAAACCTATTTTCAAATAGTGATAGCGATAATAGTCAATCTTCGATATCCTCATATTTCTTTAACAGTAAAAATAATAATGAACAACAGGATTCTTATTCATTGAATCATTTGTCAAGGATTATATCTTTCGCATTAATAAATATCCCTAGTGGATTTGTCGATGAAAACGAAGAAGATAATTCGTTAATCGAGGTTACAGATTCGAATGTTGAAAATTTCGAGGGTAGAAAATACTACCAAACCTTTAGGGACAGTTATTATTCTAACAAAAATTACAGAGATAAATTGAGGTCTGACCAATCTCACCTGAATAAGTATCTTGGATTTTTGATCAAAAGTACTCCTATCATAACCAATTACCATTTACCGAAAGTGACTGTGTGGGATAATGTGAAAGGGGAAATCCAGATAGAGTTAACCTTACCCTTTAGGTGGAATTCGTTCGCGCATTCTCCCGATATGATTGATTTCATTGGATTACCCGCAATTATTAAAGTATAATTTAGTGTATTATATTTGTGCCTTATTTCTTTCTTGAATTATTAATAGATTAACGTATTAAATATTTTAAAAATATATACGAAGATATTTATATACTTAATAATGATGTGATTAGATTTGGGAAGGAGTAAAATCATCCATGGGATTCCCTCTATTTTCTAATGCTTATGCCAATTACGATTTTCTGATGCAGAAAAATCCGTTGTACTTCGAAGTAACAAAACATATTTTTTTAAAAAATCCTTTTAAACTAATACATACATATTATAATGTATGAAATATTTATAGAACATTGCCTCTTTGATTAATGGTACCCAAATCTTAACGTGGGATAAGGAGTTATACTCGGTCGGGCATTTAAAATGTCAACATGTGTTAGTTCAAGAAAAGGCTAATAGACTTAAAGTGTTGGTTTCTCAAGCAGAAAATGAAAATCTCGATATTATTGTTCAGATTGGAAATGAGCACTTGATTCATATAGGCCCCGATCATAAAGTATGCATATATTATATATATTCCATATTCTATTAAAATTTGGTTTTTGTATTCACATATTTATATCATTTCATTTAAATAGATATCGATAAATAATGTTATAGTCGAAATTCCTATTCGCCGTAAAAATTTTGAAATAATAGCTAAACCGGATGAAATTACAATTCATTGTGAAGACGGGTTTAATGTTCGAAACATAATCAGCACCAATTCTATCATCATGTCCGTGACCAGCGCCTACAACAATCAAATGAAAGGTTTCATTTTATATTTTCACAAACAAATTTATAAACTGTTCCTTACAATTTTTTTTAATAAAACTGTTTTAGTTTATGATAGTTTTTGAGTTGTTTAAATCTACTTCTTGTCTAATTTTCTTAGAAACTAATCAAGATAAAAAACAAATGAAATACTACTAATCAAAACTAACTTTTCCCTCAAAATTTTTAGATTGAAATAATTCGAAAATTGTAACTGCATAGCTGCCAAATCGCACAAATTATTTTCTATCATATTTTACAATTTTTTGAATTAAATCAAAAATAGTAGAGCTACTGTGAAGTTGAACCTACTTTTTAATTCTAGAATAACTCAAAGATGGTAATTGCACAAATGAAATTGAAAACAAAATAAATCAAGCCTCAATCCAGTCTATAAATATATTATAATAAAACATGGTAAGGCCAACTTCATGGAACTTCTAAAAACATAATAAAATATGTTGAATTGTTAATATATTGAGGATAAGACTTGAAGAATTATTTACATTATCTTT